AATGCCCACTGTCAGTGACTGGTCCTGCTGAGCCAGCTGGGCTATAGTAATTACTGACCCATGCCGTCACTCGGAATCTTCTCTGAAGAGCGCACTGTTCAGATAAGTGTCTCCTCCCCATTGCTGTCAACTTTAAGCAATTCTAAACTCCCTACTTCCGGGCTGGGTTGGAATCACAAACACCTCCCCCACCCAGAGGGAGATTTTACACTTGGTGTCTAACCAAGATTTGCAGTCTGGATAAGCATCCAAACTTTTCGCTGCTTATCGAAACTAGACAGAGCTACATCTCTCTCGGGGTTGGGGTGGGGAGCCCCTCACTAGTTGAGACCAGAGAACAGAAGATGGCACGTTCCCAGTAGAGAGTAGGGATCAGCATTAGTGCCAGTTGCTGAGCTACTATCTATTTTCAGGCCAGAATATGGGCAAGACCATGACGGAAGCAGCATCGTCTAGTCTACTAAGCATCAAACTGGGAGTCAGGGTTGCTCTGACACTGATTTACTCTGTAGCTTTGGGCAAGTTACTTAATAATAATAATAATAATAGCTAGCTCTTAAAGATCACTTTTTCTGAATAGATCTCAAACCACTTTACAAAGGAGATCAATATCTTTGTCTTCATTTTACAGATGGGGAAACTAAGGAGCATGAAGGTAAAGTGACTTGCCCAAGGTCCCCCAGCAGGCCAGTGACTGAGCCAGGTATAGAACCCAGGTCTCAGGCCAGTGCTCTAACCACTTGGAAACACTGCCTCCCATTCATTAATGGATTTTTATCCTCAGCAAACCCTCCGTAAGCTAGGGAAGCATTGTCCCATTTTACAGATGGGGAACTGAGGCACAGAGCAGATTGAGTGTCTTGCCCAAGGTCACACTGGAAACCAGTGGTTGAGCTGGAAATTGAACCCCAGTCTCCTGAGTCTCAGTTCAGTGCCCTATTCACTAGACCTTTATAGCAGGAAAGCTTCACTGAACGGTAGTGTTTTATTGTAGATGGGCCTAACTCCGACTGCCCTAGGTCTGAGTACCCCTGCGTGTGGAGGAAGTTCATATCTCAACCTGGATCTGAACTCTGTGGCTGGCCCATAGCTCTGGAATGGCTCAAACCATAACCCTGGACCTGAACCCACTTGAGCTTTGGGGTTCATATGCTGCATCTCATGCCCATCTCTGGCTTTCACTTTAACAGAGAGTGTTTCCGAGCACTGAAGAAGCAGCCCTTGGGTTTGCTGTCTGATCTAGGATCCCTGCATTTTGTCTCCCTTTGACTGGAAGGAGAAAGCTAAGACACAGTAATACGGTAGCTGTGCTACTTCCACGGGGGCCGCTGACTCCCAGCCAACCTGACAAACCACTGCTGAGATTTGTCCATTGATTGTGGCTGTTTTTCCTTGCCGAGCTCAATGAACGATGGAGAATAATGATTCTGCCTGACTTTCTTTCTCCACACCAGCCAGTAGCTTGCAAACAGCTCAGTGGGCAGAATGCCACGAGCAATCATCTGGCACCTGAACAAATGGCCAAATTAGGGATGACGGGTGCAAAGCACCACACCAGTGAATGATTTCGCTTCAGCCAAACCACACTGCGATTTTCATCTAGTCCACGAATAGCCTGTTCCATGGTAGGACATGTCTGAAATATTATGTCTGCCTGCCTCGAGCCCAAGGTTCCTTTGTGAGCTAGGACTTCACCATGTATGATCAGATGCTTCCCAGAAGAGGCATGCATGGAAACACATGACTGCAGCCATTACAGCTAGGGATGTGACCTTTGCTGCTTAGTGACGTTGTACTCCCTACGTTTTATGGAAATATGCTTATGTGTGTGAATATGATGTAACTGGAATACGCAAAAGTTCTCCTGTAAGATATCATAACAAAGGTTATAACCTATTGAATATATTCCTCCTATTTGTATGCATATATCATCCTTGTGTCTGAACGTAGAAATATGAAGCATTACTCTGAGGTCCTATTGTAATTATGCAAAGTGTGGGCCATTAATGGTGGTTTAGAATCTTGATGGCTTCCATTTACTAGGACAATTGGTTGTAAATGGTTTATTTACTGTGTAGGTGTGGGCTAACCCAGGAAAAATGGAGACTAGGGTTCTTACAGTGACATGTGACCATGTCACACGATACTGGAATCCATCTTAATCCTTGTACTTTTCCATTGATGAGGCAGGGGTGGGGACAAGCACAGACAAAAGATGCCCGCCTTGTGCCAAAGGTATAAAAGGGGGTGGAGCAGGACAAGGGGGATTGCCAGTCATGAGAAAACCCCTGCTTACCACCTGAGATGTCTGCTGGAACTAACAAGAACTGTACCAGGGGAAAGGATTGGGCCCAGACTAGGAAGGAGTCCAGTCTGTGAAAGAAGCTTATTGGAAGATCTCTGAGGGTGAGATATTACCTGTAATCAGTTTCTTAATATATTAGGCTTAGGCTTGTATGTTTTTGCTTTATTTTGCTTGGTGACTTACTTTGTTCTGTCTGCTATTACTTGAAACCACTTAAATCCTACTTTTTATACTAAGTAAAATCACTTTTGTTTATTGATAAACCCAGAGTAAGTGATTAATACCTGGGGGAGCAAACAGCTGTGCATATCTCTCTATCAGTGTTATAGAGGGTGAACAATTTATGACTTTACCCTGTATAAGCTTTATACAGAGTAAAATGGATTTATTTGGGGTTTGGATCCCATTGGGAACTGGGTGTCTGAGTGCTGCAGATAGGTGACCCTCTGAACAGTTTTTGGTTAAAGTCTGCAGCTCTGGGGGCATGGACCAGACCTGGGTCTGTGTTGCAGCAGACTAGCATGTCTGGCTCAACAAGGCAGGGTTCTGGAGTCCCAAGCTGGCAGGGAAAACAGGCTCAGAGGCCATTTTAGCACATCAGGTGACAGTCCCAAGGGGATCTCTGTGACCGAACCCATCACAACAGGGTTGGTACCTGAAAGGAAACTTCAAGGGGAAAATTATGGCTCTTGGTGAGTCAGTTATGAATCAGTGCCCCAGCCTGGTGTCAGCAGGTGCTGTGCTGTCATTCAGACAAGATTGGCAAGCTGCAGGCTGGAGCTGGGCAATGTTCAGTGGGTCAGGTATGCCTGGACCTTGGGGAACTTTGTTTCATGGGGAGTTCACATCCATTGAATTTTGGGCTGAATTTCAGGCTTGAATGAATCCCCGAAGCAAAACTTGGGTGAAGCTGCCAAGCTGCAGCTGGTTTTTGAAATCACAAATGTTTCATTAGCCCACCTGGAGAATGACTGAGGCAGGGACTGCAAAGGCTGGCCCCGGGGGACTGCTGGGTAGCAAACCAGGGCTGAGTTAAGGGTTTATTTAAAAAATGTTTGCACAGTCCTCCTCTAGCATGACTGACTTGGTTGTTGCCTGTTTCCCTAGCACCCACTGTTGGCATTGCTTCATTAACCTCTCTGGCCCAAATGCTCATCTGTGTAGCGTACTAGTAATCCTTTAGCAACCAGCAACTGCCAATTAATAAATAAATGTCCGGATGCCCAATGAATCCCAGAGATCTGAGCTATACAGCTGGGGAGGTGTAGGCACCATCCTGACTGTGCACCTGGCTAGCATTTCTGTCTGGAGTGGAAGGGCAGGGCCCACCTTTCCCTTAGCCACTACGCCTTCCCTTGGGGTGGCTTTTGCCTCCAGGAGCAATGCATGGTCACAACCTGGCCCTGTGTTACTGTGATTTCCTACTGTGCAACCTTAATTTTGCATTAACATCATTTGACCCTTGTAATATGCAGTTTGTAGTGTTTGTCGATCATTTGGGGTGAAAGGCCCAGTGTGGATGTCTGTTGTTATGGTAACCTCACAGAAAAACACAGAAGAATTGGTGGATGGGCTGGTAAGGGGGTTGTTTGATATCAGGAACCATCATTCCAGTTAAGTAGGTTCACTTCATTGGGACACTGACGCCTGGAGTAACTGGTGGTGGTGGTGGTGGATTTCAAGTAGGGTCTGGTGATGAGTTAAGCTCTAAACATTTAGAGGCTTGGTGTGTTGCAGAGAAGCACCAAACGGAACCTTTTTGTTCTGCGCCATAAATACAAGTCTCTTTGGGTCTGCAAAACAGGGCTGTAAATCTCCAAGAACTGGCTTTTTCATGAGGTTTCCAGTTGTTGTGCAAATGCCATAAGAACAGTTTTTCTCGGTGTGTTTGTTTCCAGCTGAAAAGATAATTGAATTACAGGTTGGTTTGCCCCATCCTAAGCTGTTCTGGGGTGCACTGGCAGAAGTACATTGCGGAAATTTACATGGAACTGACGTTCTGTCTGGGATTGAGGAGAAAGTGAAGAAACATAGGAGTGGCTGGTCTGTGTGAATTCCTGCATTATATCTGGCTCTGGCGGAGACTAAGTGATCCCCTTACTTTTACAATCACATGCAAATTTAAAAGAAAAACAGCCACAGGGCAGATTTCCTAGAGTTCCTTCCCAGACGGCACATAATCACAGCCCTAATATTGCACCTGTCCTGCAGGAAGGCAATGCCTTTTTTTAGATACAGGAGCTCAGTGTTATTCAATGGGATTCACCCTGCAGCGAAAGAAACCTCCCTGCAGGACAAATGAATTTCAACGTTCCCGGGCCCTATTGTCATGCGTTCTTGCAAATTAGGAAGTTACAAAGGGCTATAGCCAGCCTTGGCCTCTTTTGCATTCAGTTATTTGAGAGTGCAAATGCTCAGCTGATTGCATACATCAGGCACTCAACTGCAGTCCAGAACACCCCACAAATTAAATCCTAGGTGGCAGTGACTTGCAAATCTGTAAGGCCCTGTTCAAGGAACACACTTAAGCATTTCTTAAATCCATCCCTGTTTAGGGGCATACTTAAGTATGTGCTTAAGTGCATTCTCTGTAGGGATGCTTTCCTGAATTGGGGCCTTACCTGCTACTTGTTGCAAGCAGGAATGTTCCTGCTGCCAGAATGAATCTGACCTCTACTCTCTATTCCCTCTGCAGTTTTATTCCCCCACTGCCATAAATTCCATCCTGTTTGGTTCCTGAGAGCAGAACCAGCCTGGTGAAACGTACAGCAACCATCAGCGTGACAGCTGCTGAAACCATCCACCCTATTAGTATAACCCTGCTGCACAGGCTGCAGCATGTATGCAGCCAACCTGACCCATTGGGGCGATTTATGAATATAACCACAGCAAGGAATGAAATCACCCATCATCCTTCAGGGTTTCTACGCGAACTGGAAAAGAGATATTTTTAAAGCAATTTTTTTCATATTTCAATTGCAATAACTCAATATCCAGAAGACAGATTTAAAAAAAAAAATCTACCGGTTTCAAGGTGGGTTAACAATGTGCAAAGCACATGCCAGAACACGTGTTATTAGCAATAAAAAAAGTCCTTTATTTTCCTCCCTTGAGTATTTCTTTCACACTCACTTTTTTAACTATCTTTATTTGTTTCCCTTCTCTCTCTCTCTTTCCCCCTCACAACCAGATCCCTTAAACAAAACAAAGTTTTATTTCATTCCAGACAGGGACGCCTGCCAAAATCTGGGCCTCCCTTTTTATATATATATATACACATACAGACCAGTGCTGAAAACACACACAAATCCTCCTCCCCCCACCACCCCAAGCCAGTAGGGTGGCAGACGAACAAGACACAGCGTGAATTATCCAAATGGTGCTGTGAAGGGATGGCTTTTACTGGCAGAGGTGAATGTATTTTTGCAAAGGTTTAGAGAAATTCCTCTGTTTCTCTTGAATTTTTTCATGGCTGGAAGTTCTAGTTTGGAGAAGAGCTTGAAGCCTGATGTTTCAGATGTCACAGGCAAAAGTTCCCCCCATTTGTTTATTTGAATCTTGTATTTACAGTGTTGATCCCTGTGAATTAATTTGCACTAATTCCGTGGCAGAAATCCCATTCACTGCAACTTTCCCTGCTAAATATGTAACCGAGATTGGCTCCACTGATATAAAGTTCAGATCAGCGAGGAGAACGTTGGCTTAAAATTGCACTCTGTATTTCACATCCACTTGAGGCCCTTGCACAACTGGTTTAGTTAGACTCCCAAGCATACAGGCGTTTTCCATAGCAGATTGTACCGTTTGTCCATCCAGTCTGGCACCCTACTCCCCACATGTCCAGCATCTGATGGTTTAGAGCAAGTTGCTACATTCTCAGCATGCACCCAGACAGCTGCAGGGAAAGATCTTCTTCCTGGTCCCTTGAGGTGATGGGCGTGAGAAGCGGTGGCTGTGCGGTCTGTCAGCCCGGCTTTCATGAGTTCTTACCCCATTGCGGCCTCAGACCAGTCATCTAACTACTACAGGTCTGAGGTTAGCTCTCAGCTAGACTGATGTAAGTCAGGATTAACTCTGCTGAGGTCAATGGAGTTACACTGGGGTAAACCAGACGTGAAAGCAGGCTCTGGACCTACAGCTCCATTTCCTTATTTGCAAATTTGGGATAATACTATTTACCTATTATAATAAGGGCTTTGGGGCTGATCCAGTTCCCTAGGGAACCACTTATGTGGGCATTCGATTGGGTCCTTTGGTAGGGCTAATTTGTTACCATGGGTAAGCTAAGAGCAAGGTATGAGTCTGAGTACCCTTAACTTAACACACACCCACCTAAAAAAAGAAAAAAGGTGTTTTCCACAACATATTTGGGCGTTTTCACTTGAGACATAAGCACTAAGGAGACTCGGCTTCCCAAGGCAGCTGAATTGAAGGGAAACACATACTCAAGGACAAGCACCACATGATACTTGGCAGTAACAGGATCATCGTTCCATACTGGTGCCAAAACTTGAGCGTGAGAGCTTAGCGCGCACACTCGCTCGCTGAAAGCATTTGGACAAGTAAAAGTCAGCTGCTCAAACAGGGGTGGAAAACGAATGCGTGAGAAGGGCACGAGGGAGCGTGAAGCAACTGTGACAAAGTGGGAATGTTCTTAATGTTTTCTCTGAATACTGTGTGGGTGCCCCAGTTTCCTCTAGGCATTTCTTAAGTATCAGGGTGGTGGGATAAGGGTGTGTGATTGTTGCAGAGCCCTAGAGGGCCAGTGTGATGCTGTCTGCACAGAGAATGGCCAACACCCTGTCTCCTGGCAACTGATGGCCTGGGCCCCTCCTCTGCAAAGGTGCCAACTGAAGGTGTTGGAGAACAAAGAGATCAGGTGGCCTCCTGGCCCGGGAAAGAGACAAAGGCCAGAGGAGGGGCCAGAGAGTTTCAGTTTGGAGCTGGCTGGGGAAATGGAGGGAGGCCCAGATGGGGCTCTGGCCTCCCTGCCCCCCAAGATGGACCTGACTGAGAAGTCCTGTTCTCTGTACCTACAAGCTCTGTTTTAGACTGTGTTCCTGTCGGCTAATAAACCTTCTGTTTTACTGGCTGGCTGAGAGTTACATCAGACTGCGAAGCTAGGGTGCAGGGCCCTCTGGCTTCCCTAGGAGCCCCGCCTGGGCGGACTCGCTGTGTGAAGTGCACGGTGGGGCAGGGGATCCTGAATGCTCCGAGGTCAGACCCAGGAAGGTCAAAGCTGAGGAAGCTTCTTGCCCTGGAGACAGTCTGCTCACAGAGAGGAGGCTCCCCCAGAGTCCTGACTGGCTTCGTAGGGAGTAGTTCCAGAGCATCGCCCGGGGACTCCGTGACAGCAACTACATTGGTCATTCTGAGCATAGACTCCTGGGAATGTTTGGGAGAATTTGCCTCGCTCTGCAAGTCCTGCAGGGCCAGACTTTCACATGCTCATCACTCACCATCTGGGGCAGATTTTCAAACGAATTCAGTTGCCATTTAGGCATCTAAAAAAGGTTTAGGTTTCCAAATCAGCTCCCACTGTCACACTCCTGGCCAGATTTTCACAAGGAAATTGTGCTGAGCTCTTCTGAAAAATCTGTCCCCCCATTCAGTTCCCAGGTACCGGGACTCTTTTGAAAATCTGACCCGTAATGTGTCTGACCCTGTGTACACTGACTGTAAACTGGCTGCTGGCAATTTTACTCTGTCAGCTAGACCTGGAGCAGGTCTGGATGGCATGGGGCTTTAAAAAGCCGGCAGCCAGTCTGGTGCTAGAGCAATGGAGGGAGAATTTGAGAAAAATTCTCAGTGTGCAGATGCAGCCTCTGTGCTTTGGTTTCCCCATCTTTAAGATGGGGACAATGCAAACCTACCACTGCTGACTGGAGCACAGAAATAATCTCTTCTCCTTCCTTACACTTCCTGCCCTTCTAGTTCCTTTCCTTTCCTCTCCTGCTCTCACTTAGTGACCCTTTCCCCTTCCTTTCTTTTTCCTACTCCCTTGCTCACATTTCTCCTCCGTCCACCTCAGCCGCCATTAAACCCCCTCCACCAGGTAGCTAGCAAGACACGTGCTGATCATCCTGCTCATTAACTTGTATGTTATATCCCTGTCCCCTGCCCGTCATCTGTGCTTGTGCATTTTAGGCTCTGAGTCATCTCCCACAGAAATCAATGGCAAGACTCCCGTTGGCATCAGGAGGCATTGGTTCAGGCCCTGCGTTTGCCTGGCAGCCGGTACAATGGAACCACGATCCCGACAGGTACTTTTGGCTTCCGCAGCAGTATAAATAATTGCTCAGCTGATTGCATACATAAGGTACACGAACTTCTCCAGCACAGTGGGCTGAAGTCTTCATTGACAGTGTCTTTGCACTTCTGAGGCTATGGTGGCAAAAGTGACCTTGTTTAAGGTGATGGGACATTGTGAAGCTTAATTGATTCACATTTGCTCAGTCCTTGGGTCAAAGGGACTTCAGAAGTGCCCAAAACAATGGTCTATGGCCCATCACAAGTTTTTCTGAGCAAACCGTGTAATAAGAAGGCTGACTTTAGATGCCAGGCTAGAGTGGAGGAGCTGGGGAAGACGGGGGGAGTTGAATTACGCATATTGATTGGGTTAAAAACTAACCTGGGGATGGAGCGGGGGGTGCCTGTTGCTAGAAGGAATGTCAGGACATGGAAAGGGAGCGTAGCTTATTTAACAGTCCTCATAGTCACCAGGCATTCTGGACTCAATCCGTGGTCTGAAGATGAGGGGTGTCTGGGATCAAGTGGAATTGCAGCGTTGTCAGATTTGCAAAACGTGTGAGGAGTGAAGTAGTGGAGGAAGCAGCATGGAAAGTTGTTGACCTCAGCCACACTGACTCTGAGGGAAAGCAAAACACCGGAGGAATTTTGATTGGAATCCTGGCATGTACAGAGAATTTTATGGCAGAAGAGCAGGAGTGGCTGGGCGAGACAGCAATTCAAATTCTTCATTGTTAAATCTAAGCAGCATTAAAGGGCAGCAGCGGCCACACGGGCCTGATGGGAAGGGGAAGATTAGCATAGGAAGCAGAGTCGGAGGGGGGCCTCTGAAAATAAGCAGACGCCAGTTCAAAGGATAATTTGATGAACAAATAAAAGAATACACAAGAGAGCGAGAACAGCAATAAATGCCAAGGAAAAATAATACCAGCCTAGACAGAGGACTGAAGAAAACCCATTTTTTAAGAAGACTTAGCGCTGCCGTAAGCAGGAGCTGATGAGTTTCTTAGGTATATCGACAGTGGGTAGCATGGCTCATAGCTCACAGACATGCAATAGTGCTGTTCGAGCTAGTGCCCTAAAAATAACACTGTTGTCGGGGGGAGCACGGCTAGCAGCACAGGCTAGCTTCCTGAGCCCCACACCCATCAGGACCCCCGGGGTATGTGCTTGGGTGGCTGTCCCTGGCTTCACTGTTGTTTCAAGCTAGCGCGTGTCTGCCTACTCAAACTGGGAAGCATGAGTGTAGACATAGAATCATAGAATATCAGGGTTGGAAGGGACCTCAGGAGGTCATCTAGTCCAAACCCCTGCTCAAAGCAGGACCAGCCCCCAATTTTTGTCCCAGATCCCAAATGGCCCCCTCAAGGATTGAACTCACAAGCCTGGGTTTAGCAGGCCAATGCTCAAACCACTGAGCCATCCCTCCCCCCTCCATACCCAAGCTGGCACAGGGTGGACGTAGGCACCCCCCGTACAGGGTAAGCAGTGTCCTACCCTTGGAAGGGGTAAGCCAAAGGCCCCATAAGGGTTTTTATCTGCCAGCCCTGAGACTGCTCTAGCTTGTGTGTTGACTCACTCTCCAGGATCGGGGGTGGCGGCGGGCGGGGTAGAAAGCCACCCATATCTCCCCTCCTTGGTCATGCTGAGCTCTGCTCCGGCACTCATCCCTCATCTGCTTGAGTTTCAGCTAATGTCCCCTGCTGAGGTTTGGTAGGTGCTGAGGGATGTGAAGTTTGTGAGTTAGATCTGTCCCCCTCTTAGCAGGTGAAGGCCAACGGGACATTACTGGAGTAGAATTCTCAGTGCCTCCCGGCACAAGGGCTTTCTCACTCAGTAAACCACCTCTTTATGCCGACACTTTCTCTCCAAATGTCACCTGGTCTCCAAGCTTCCTTTTCGGTGGGGAAACAACTGAGAAGGTTGCAGTTAGGCAACTCCCACCATATCTGGAGTCCTCAGATGTCTTTGACTCGAGGTCGTTTGGTTTTAGCCCTGCGTGGGTTGTCTGACGATTTTCTGGAGATGGAAGATAGAGGGAACATTTGAGGTGATTTCTTTTAAATCTGGCAGCAGTACAGGTCATTGAAAAATGGAGGGGGAAAATGATTATCCACGCAGAGATTTTTGATATAATTGATTGTCAAATGCTAGCTGGCCTGGGGACTCTAGAAGCGATAGGATGAATTTCTCTTCTGTGTCTTGTTCCTTTCCCTCTGAGAGCTCCCAGAAAGCAGTAGTGAGCAATTGCATTTCTGCTCCAAAGGCTCCCGCGTGGGGTTCTGCAGGGTTCCATTTTGTCATCCCTTCTCATGGAGTCCTGCAGGGATCAGTACTAGGCCCAATGTTATTCAACATTTTCACCAATGATGGAAGTTGGTATAAAATCACTGCTGATCCAAATATGTGGATGACACAAAGATTTGCGAAGTAGTAAATAATGGTGAGGACAGGACAGTCATACAGAGAGGTCTGGATCAGTTGGTAAGCTGGATCCATTCAAACAAAATGTATTTTAATACAGGCAAATGCAAAATTATACATCTAGGAGCAAGGAATGCAGGTGATGCCTACAGAATGGGGGGCGGAGGGCTGTATGTTCAGAAATAGTGGCTCTGAAAAGGATTTAGGGGTTGTAATGGATATGCAACTGAACATGAGCTCCCAATGTGATGTTGTTGCAAAGAGGGCTAATGCAATCCTTGGATGTATTAAGAGGGGAGTAGTGAGTCAGGAGGTGATGTTGCTTCTGTGTACAGCATTGATGAGATCGATACTGGAATAGCATGTCCAGTTTTGGTGTCCCTGTTTTCAAAACGATGTTGAAAAATTGGCAAGGCTGCAGAAAAGAGCCTCCAAAATTATTCGAGGCCTGGAGAAAATCCCTTATCATGAGAGACTTAAAGCACTCAATTTTTAAGGCAGTTTAAGGCACTAAAGGGCTCTGTAACCTAGCAGAAAAGGCCTAACAAGAACCAAAGGCTGAAAGCTGAAGCTAGACAAATTCAACTGAGAAATAAGGCACAAATGTTTAGCAGTCAGGGTGATTAACTGTTGGAACAAATTACCCAGGGAAGCGGTGGAGTCTCTGTCTCCTGATGTTTTCAGATCAAGACTGGATGCCTTTCTGGCAGATCTGCTTGAGCTGAACACAAGTTCTTGGGCTCAGTAACTGGGTGAAATATATGGCCTGTGTTCTCCGGGAGGTCAGGCTAGATGATGTAATGGTCCCTTCTGGTCTTAAAGTCTATGAATCTGTGTAGCGAAAACCCTTGCACTTGCAGCTTTTTCGGAGCGTTTCAGTTGCTGGCTGTTAGTCCAATATATGTGCATTTAAGTGATATTATATAGATGTTCCCAGCACCCAGAATGGATGTATGGCATATGGCAACCAGCAGAAAAGTTTCTTCTCTTCCCCCAAAATGAGGAATGCCCCCCTCAAAACTACACAATGGGAGGGGCAATATTCACTCAAGGACCCCGTGCCACCAATTCTCTTGATTTTATTGTGAGTTTCGTGACATTTAGTGGGGTTTTTTGAAGACCCAGCTGCTCGGGGTGTCGGCTACATATGCAATGAATGCATCGCATGCCCCAGGGCTGGCTGTGCCCATGGGATGATTCCATCCAGTCCCCAAACGCACATGGACGATGCCATTTGGGAGAACAAAATGGCATCCTCCCAGCAGCGTGACCTTGCATGCACTGTATGTGTGAGGTCACCGCCTTGCATGCCTTACTAAAAATGTCATGGCATGCCACTGCAGCTGCTGGATTAAAGAGATTGCATGAAATCCCAGCTGTCATTTAAAAAAATAAAAATAACTTTCCAGCCTTCCTGACTGCAGAAAGAAGCTTTAAAATGTGAAGCAAGTGTATGCTGAAGGCCCAGATGCCAGAAGGCAAAGAAAAAGACCCCAATATTTATTATTTAAAAAAAAACCTCTTGATTTTTTTTAAACCAGTCTCTTGATTTTGGGGGCCTGACTCATGATTTTTAAATGCTTGGGGTTGGCGATGCTGAGAGGTTTAAGGCCCAATGTCTTGTGATGGTTTAACCACTGGAAAGAGAAGGTTCGCAGCTTTCCAATGATATACATCGCTCTTGTTTCTAGTCCTGGAATGTCCTGAAATGTTGGTCCTTAAAATAACGGCATTAGGCATGAAAAAGCTACTTTTGGTCACTTTTAGAGGTTTCTACAATGTATTAGTTATGGGGACAGATCCTCTGACTTTGCACAGGACTGGGTAGAGGAGGGAGAAGCAGCTTTGCAGCACCTTTGCAGCTCCACACTCCACACTGGTGGCTAAAGCCAGTGCAATTTCGAGCCTCTCACTGGATGGAGCAGATTGCTCCTCCGCCGTGCACGAGGAGCACCACTGCTCTGAGGCACCATCTCTCCATTGCTCTTCCTGGGACGGGGTAGCTCCACACCACCCCCGCCCCCTTACTGGAGCTTAAAGCCACAGCCTAGCCCACTGTCCACAGCGCCTAAGTAGTCTGGGCAGTAGAGATGTTAAGCATAAGCTACAACCAAGTATATTGGCTTATTCTTCACTGCGAGTGGCAAGGATTTTCAAACGTGGCTAGTGAGTTTGGGTGCTTCGGTTTTGGGACTTTTTAAGGGCCCTAATTTTCAGCTGGCGAGTGCTCAGCACTTTCTGAAAATAAGGTCCCTTTAAAGTACTGTAATTTGGGCACCCAGAATCACTAGCCAGTTTTGCAAATGTGGGTTTGTAGATTCACAGGGTTAAAGCCTGTCCCCTTTGAAGTCAAGTGGAGATTTGCTGCTCTGCTGACCAAGTGAAGAGTCCTGAGCCCAGTAACTTATGGCAGGACTGTAGAAGATCTAAAGGTTCTTGTGATGTCGCTCTAAATGCGATCGGCCGACCGTGCCTCCTCATTTACCTGCCGTAAGGTGAATTGGCTCACACCACCAACAAGAAAATAAAGTAACAAAATAATAGCAAAACAAGAGGGTCCTTGTTTACCCCCTACATCCAACCCTGCTTT